CCCTCTCCCTCTGCCCCTCCCCGACTCATGCTCTCTCTCTCCCTCTCGAAATAAATACACTTTAAAAGAAGACTGCTTCCAAGCTTCAGAAACATAGACCAGGTTTCTCTTCTCCATCCTTCCACAGCTCCCTGGATGGCTCTGTGCCAGAGCCAGCGCTGATCAGACTCCGGGGTTTTGTGGATTTTCACACCTGGATCTCTCACTAGCTGTAACCTCCCAGAGGACAGGAGCTATGTTGGGGTGGTCATTGGTGCTGACCACAAACATTCCAATTCTTTCCTCCTCCCGGCACATAGTAGGATTGCATTCCCTGACTCCCCGTGAAGTCAGGCAGGGGCAATCACATCCTCATAGAAGTGATGTATGTCAGCTCCAGGAGGAAGCTTAAAGAGCACGTAGCGTGATTTACTAGGCCCCTTTCCCACTGCAGGGGAAATGCCAAAGCACCTAGCCGGCCGGGGTCTCGGCGACTCGGAGGAGCTGCGCCCCCTGCTGGCCGGTGACGGCCACGCAGCACGAATGAGCGGTCAAGTCAGTTTCTGAAACTGTGAGCTTGCTTGTTTTTGCAGCAAGATGGAGCCTCTCCAGACTGGTAGTCAAGTCTCATTCACTTTTTTAGCTCCCGGATCCAGTACGGTACCTGACTTCTATCCCGAGGGCTCTTAGGAATTATTTGCCGAATTCACAAATGAACAAAGACACTCAGCCTGACTCAGCGTGCAGACTTTGTGGGTAGAGTTTCTAGAGTCAGAGGAGACAAACCCTCTCATTTCTAGGCCAGGAAACCAATTCGGGTGCAGACTCGCGACTTCCTCAAAGTCATTTGGTGAATCGGAGTCAAAATCAAGACTAGCATCCAGTTCTCCGGGTCTGCAAAATTCCAGGATGGGCCTTTGCCCAAATCACACGGACTTTTTAAAAACCTGGTTTCGAACCGACTAGCAAAAAGCTCTTCATGTTGATTGTGGGTGGTTTTTTTTTTGTTTGTTTGTTTTGTTTTGTTTTGCTTTGCTTCAAATCAAAACCAATGAAACACGAGAGTCAGAAACACCAGGCTGAAAGGCGCCTTCTCGAGACCCCTCAAGACTCTCCTTGGTCTGACATGCGTACATAACGCAGACCTGAGCTCTGGGCCCACATGCCGAGTGGACGTCTTGTAGCCCTGCATGTCAGTTGCACACAATCAATATGGTGGGTGTTTGTGCAAGCACCTCTGAACGCCAGAAGTCTGGGAAGCAGGTGGCTAATTTTGCAGTGGGGGAGGAGGCGAGCAAGCCCTACCAGGTATCTGTTACTCGGAGACAGATGAAAGAGGTCTCAGCAGGCCCTTTTCAAAGCTGAAAACAGTCTGCCCAGGCCGCTCACGTGGATGGCCAGCCAGCTGGGCGACAGGAATTTCTTCCACTGCGGTTGACCAGACCAGGAAAACTTCTCTGGGCTGCTTGTTGTTAATAGGTTGTTAATGATTGATGCGGGGGCCTTTTAAGTCGCCAAATGAAAGGCAGAAACAGGGCCTGGCTTGGGAGCTGATGACTACACCAGCACTTGCTCCGTGCGAAGGCGGAATTTTAAAACATTTATGTCGGCTGAGCTTGCGCTGGGCTACACAACAGCTCGTTGAAGGAATGAAGCGATCTTGTCTTGCGTCCGCCTTCCTTTGTTCTTTCACTCAGACATTAAAAATACAGCAGGCTAAAAGGAGAAAATAAATTTCAAAGATCCCGCTGGATGGCAGGCTCAAAGAGGAGGCGAGATGTGGAGTGAGTTTGCTAAACAGATGAAGCAAGTAGGTAGGAGATGAGGGGTGGATTCTTTGGACACAGAGACTCAACTCTCTCGTGGGCTCCTCGCAGCCTCCTTGGGGGGATTTCTTGTACATGAGCTGGGTGCACCTGCTGCCCCGACCCAGTGGTTTTTACAGAGGATCTAGAATAGTCTAGTGAAATAGCCGTTCTCTGTGCTCTCGGCTCAGCTAAGCTGAGAGTTGCCCAAAGTAGTGCGGCTCGTGTACTTAAAAACAATAACCTTGCCTGTTGACGTATAACACACATACAGAAGAGCATTTTCCATAACTCATAAACGCGCATCTTTCTGTGTGTTGTATACGCGTTCACCGATGGAACACACCCAAGTCAGCCCCCACTTGTGTCAGTGAGCAGAACGCTAGTTTGGACACATTGTCCCCAAAGGACCAGATGATTTCTTTGGAACCCTTCCCATGGCCGATCGGATTGTCTCCTGGATAACTGCTAACGAGTGGGGAGACTGTACAACTTATGCCAACTGGGACCCCTCTGGGAATGAAAACGTGTAATGGGCATAAGTGGGAGTCATCCCAGGAAACCAGGATGGACGTCCTCCCTGCCGATAACGACGGGAAACACGTATGAAGCACGGCGCTCTTGATTCCCTGTTTGCCACTGCCTCACCCCCTTCACCCTGTGCCCTTCTCTCCTTGCCCTGTGCTCCGGAGAGTGGACTTCTGTGCACCACATCTCTGTGTTTCATTGCCCTCTGGCTTCTGCCAGTGGGAAGTCTAGCAGGAGACTGGAGGGCGGGAGGAGAGGGACGTCAGAGTATTTCTTTCCTGCTACGTCCTTACATTGCCGTGGCATCTCTGGGGGTGCCTTGCCCCTTCCAGCGCTCAGCTCCCGCCAGGCTGTTCTCCCTCCAAACCCCAGCCCTCTCTGGCCTCTGGTTCCTCTTCAGCACTGGGGGATGGAATCCGTTTTTCTCAATTGCTAGTCTCCAGGGGCCTCCACATCCCTCCGTGGTTCCCACAGCCCCGCCCACACCTCTTTGAGTCGCTCCTGCATTGCAGCCTTTTCATTAGAACCCTCTGGTTGAGGGGCGCCTGGGTGGCTCAGTCGGTCGAGCGTCCGACTTCGGCTCAGGTCACGATCTCACGGTCCGTGAGTTCGAGCCCTGCGTCGGGCTCTGTGCTGACAGCTCGGAGCCTGGAGCCTGTTTCGGATTCTGCGTCTCCCTCTGTCTCTCTCCTCCCCCGCTCATGCTCTGTCTCTCTCTTCTCCAAAATAAATCCAACCCTCTGGTTGAATTCCTTCCTGCCAGGACCCTGACTGCTACAGTTGCTTGTGA